ATATTATTGGTTCTCCATAGAGACACCGCCCTCGGAAGTAGCCCCAAACACTTTGCCTCAAGGGTGTCCGAATTGTTGCAAGGAAGGCGGGTTGTTGTTTTTGGGCCATCCGAGTTTCCCTCAGCGACTTACAAAGAATACTTGAGAAAAGTGTGTAAGAAAGAGAGGCCTGATTCTGATGGCACATCTCAATGAAGATCTAGACTTCTCAATCTCCAAAACAAATGGCTTGTTCATCCTATATCTATTTCGTGCCACTCCTGATATCTCTTCTTCTTCCATCCAAATTCTGGTTGCTTCGTTTGAACGGGACACCCCCATTCCACCACCACAAGCCAACTCCCAGCGGACGGACTCTGGCCGCCGGCCACCCCGCCCGCCGGTCTCCGCCCGCCGGTCTCCGCCCGCCGGTCTCCGCCCGCCGGTCTCCCGCCTCCTCCTTCACGCTGCAGGTGCGCTTCGCCCGGCAGCACAGCATCACCGCCTGCGAAACCGGCGCCCCAAGTGGAGCGAGTGACTCGGTGGCCTCGACGAACCGTGGAGTTTGTTTTCGTGCCAAAAGGCGTTCTTTGCCGGACTTTCGTGTGGAATGATAGATTGCTTGACAAAGTGAGCTGGAAACAAGAATTCCAGGAGTGAAATCGAATCCCTTTCAAACCAACAGGGGGCAATACATAATGTGCTTAAGCAACTGCAAGCAAATGGGGGTGTGTCCAATTTTGAGGGTACCCTTTCTTGGTAGGTACAGGGAAACCAAAAGGAAAACACCCAACTTTGGGGATCCCACTTGTCAGACAAATAGAAAAACCCAAAGTCGGATTCACTTTGGCTTCCCTTTTAGGAGGAAACAGGCTGGTAAAAAACCTGGTACTTCTGGTGTTGTTTTGGCTCTTTGCTGTTATTGGGCTGTGATGTGTCGAGTTGCAGTTGTGAGCGGGGGAGGGGGTGTGGGTGGGGGAGGGGGTGGGGGGGGGGGGGATGTTACCGTCGTTATGAAAGATTTGCACGCACACGAACACACATGCCAGGGCACGCAGGCCGATGCATGGCCAACGAGCCAAAGTTGGTTGCAGATGCTGGCAAAAGGCGTCTGGAGAGCCACCAATGTCCATCCCAGCAAACATGAGTTTGTTAGAAGAGTCTCTGTGACGAGAGTACGCAAACGACCCGCTTGCTTCATAGTGGGGACTCAATGTATGGACAGAGGGTGGTATATCACAACCCAGCTTCACTTTAATGTGTTTCGCTACACGCATAGCTTGTTTGGAGGCATCGGCTTCCCATTGAGCAGGATTTCAGCCGTGATCGTTGGCTGCAGCTTGTTGGTTCAGATTTTCGAGCAATTGAACTGCAACTATGCAAAAACATTGGGTTTTGACCATTTATGCGTGAAAACAATGCTGTCCCAATTCTCCCGTTCACTGCCAAGCATGAGCCAGAGATGACAAATTGCAGAAAAGCCAGGGGAAAACACGTGTGACACAGCTTTCGCCTCCGGGTTTTTAAACAGCTTGTGACCTTTTAGGAAGGCCTGTGGCTCGTTGTACTTCTAGGATATGTCATCCAAATTATTTGGGTGCTACTGCGTCGGGCCTATGCAACCCAAAAAGAAGCAAGTCCCGCTCAGTCCCGCGCAAAAGAAAGCAAAGCGAATCCCATGCCAACAGAAGTCGAAAGTCGGGACATGAAGCTGCGCTTCAACTTGCCCAAAGCCACATCGACTTGTTGCAGCCCTCAATCGAAGCGCACTACAAATGGCTGTGGGTCATAGGTACCCAACATGGAACCCTGGCAAATGGAAACACGGACTAAAATCTGCGGTCCCCGTGATTTCATATTGAGTCCCGCGGGGGCAGAAGGCGTCAACGGCGACCCTAACCGCTGGCCCCCGTTCTATCCCCAACTCTCAGCTTGAAAGCACTCAATCATTCCTGGTCGGAATTCCCCGATGGAACTCTGAATCCGACCAAGCGCCCAAGTGAACCCCTTCAACCGAAACAACTTGGCAACCAGCACTGGAGATCTGGGTCAGTCTGAGCCTCTGCTTCCATCTAGCTTCTCAAACCCAAAAACCTTTGCTTTGAGGGGGGACCTTCTCAACCAACGACCAACATTGTCATCACATTCCACTTTTCGAAGAGATCCGGGAACACCCACGTAATACTTAAGGTCCACCTGGTGGGAAAAAACACGGGGGGGGGCGGGGGGGACAAGGGACACACAAATGGACCACCGGGGAAATCCGGTTCCACCCATCCACCGGTTCCACGTCTCGCCCAAACCGGACGCCTGCAGCCGCTTCTTGCGGCTCACCAGCTTCATGGCGTTGTGCATCTTCAGGTCCTCTCGCGTCTTCGTCCCGACGTCCCCCGACGTCCCCCGACAACGACCCAACGAGGGCGAGAAAAGAAGGTGTCAAGAGGAGAAACAGGAGTTGGAACATCTTGGTGACCCAATTTTCGGTTGGAAATAGATGGATATCTCTGGTATGAGGAAAAACCCACCAGGTCAACCAGGAATCGAAACCCATCGAGTTTTCGACCAAAACCACCAAAAAGGACACCTATGGTCCTGCGTCTTGGTGCAAGCTTTCCCTCTGCTGGCTCGCAACACGCTTGGGCGCTTCGGCTTCGCGCGAGCTTCGCCACTCGCATCGGAGTTTAGTAGAAGTTGGACCACACTTGAAGTGTCCTTTTTTTCAGAAGACCAGAAGTGCCAAAATTGCCAAACAAGCTTGGAGTCCGAGAAAAAAAAAGAAGTTACGTTTTGGGAAACTCGTTCTTTGAACTCCTGAAACCTGGACGAAAAGGATCGCCCTCGGATCCCGCGGCATGAACTCCAATCGACCCAGCACCGTGGAGCCACACAGAAACATGGCAAGCGCATGGCAAACACAGCAAAGCAAGGGAAAGTCATCCAGAAAACAAACAACTTGTTACTTTTATTTTTCATGTGTTTCTTTTTAATAATAATAATAATAATAATAATAATAATAATAATAAAGTATCTGTCCTTGACCAGACTGAGCCGACAGGTGTACTAACAAGAAACACACACACACACACACATCATATATCATACGTGGATGGACACCGTGGACACAAACCTGCCCCAGTTTCGCTTATCCACCAGCATTCGAATATCCTTCATCCACCTCAAGGCATGTTTCTCGAGGCTTCCCTTTTCGCGTCTCTGCTTTCAATCCCCCCAATAATTTCGCCCATGTCAGCCACCAGAGGGCTTTCCCCCCCGGCTTTCCGCTTCCTTCCGCCTTCCCACGGGGGGGAAAAACAATTACAAACCTTCCCCGGCTTCGGCTCCGCGGAGCTCGGAGCTCGGATTTTTCGGCTTGCCTTGGGGTCCGCCAGGAGCTTGGAGCAGTAGTAGCACACGGCGCGCAGCACGTTGTGGGTGGCCTTCATGAAGCCCCAGTGAAACCTCGGCCGCGGTCGCGCGGGCGGTCGTGAGCGGTGCGCCGCATGCGCGCTCGAGCCGAATGCATTCGGCTCGTTTGCGCGGAGGAATGCAGCGGCCAGAAAACAAAGGCGACACTGCAGCTGGGGGTGGTGGCCAGAATTGGGGTCACTTGAAAAAAAACAAAAAAAGACACGGGGCTCGTTTTGGGAGAGCGAGAAGGATGAGAAGATTGATGGATGCAGCCACCCAAAGGGGGCTTCTTGTGTTGCCAATGCGGAAAAGGAAAGAAGAGGCAGGGAAATCCCAAAAGAAGAAGAAACAAACAAACAAACAAACAAACAACGCCTGGGTGCGATGCGCCCAAAGGAGATTCTTCTTAACAAACTCACGCTTTGTGGACGTTCGACGAGGGTTGAGTTTCATTTGCAAATTGATGGTTCACTTGCTTCACTGTTGGCATGTTCTTAGGTTCTTGGATGTGTTGGTCCTGATCATTCTTAGTAGGAGAAGGGTTGGACAGTTTACCCAGAGCAAAGCCACCTAGATAGCCACGTTGCTGCTTTTGTTCAGTCACTGTTGCTGGTTTTTGGAGTAAAGTGGATAGAAAAAAACAGCAACTGGCGATCCAGGCACACTGTTTTTCCAGGCACCCCAAATGGGCACCATTCATTTGATCATCCGGAGCGTTGTTTTTTGGGAGGTTCCTCTTGTGGTGCCTCTTGTGGTGCCTCCCATGGCGCATTATCGATGGTCCCTTCGTTCCTTTGAAACTGGGAGGAATCCTTTGGTCCATTTTTGCTGTTTGCCGATTGATGTGGCTGTTTGTTGGTTGATGTACCTCCTTTGCACATTGAATATCCCCGTTTGCTTTGCCCTTCAGGAGGTACATTCGACCCTCCCCCACAATCCGCGTCGCCTCAATGGGTTGAGCTCCTAGGACACGATCTGCATTGTAGAATTTGGGCTGGGCGATCAAAGGCAACCAAGCTTTGCCTTGGCTTGGGTTGATCGGTTTATGTTCAGCCCGAGACTTTGATCCGCATTTTTCATTCTTGAACTGTTTCAAATACTTCTCAATCATCTGTTTCTATCCCTCTGATTTGATCGGCTTTTTATTCTCCTACCTTTTGTGGAACGGCTAAAGAAGTAACCCCGCGTTCCTCTGTGCAGAGCCACCGCCTCCGCTCGACCTGCGACCTTTTTCTCGACCCACTGCGTCGGCGGTTTTCGTCGCGCGCGCATGCGCCACTTTGGGCCAGCCAGAGATGGAAGCCGCGCGTGAATGAGGGAAGTCGCCCGAGGCACCCATTTATGGCAAAGCATCAAAACTAGGTTCCTCGAGTAGAGGTCCGTTAGAACAAGGGTACCCTTTTTTCGGTAGTCTACTGGATTAGGGGAACCCTCCCCAAAAAAAAGGTGAGAAAGGGCCCTACTGGGGGACCTAGAAAAGGACCACCGTTCTATGACGCCCTTCTGAGAAAACACACACACACACACTTTTCCGAGCAAGTCCTTCCACTTGCTGTCCACTTCGCCTGGTGTCCTAAAAACGACTCTCAAGTCCCAACAAAAGGGGGAAGTGACTTTGACCAAACAGGCTCGACCGACCAACCCTCCGCTCCCGTTCGCGCGCCCCTCAGGCGCTTGAGGCCCTCCTGTTGGGGCTCACCGGTAGCCTCGGAGGTACTCGCTGGCGGCGGCGAACTCCGGCCAGGTGCGAACACCTCGGCGCGAATCGGTCGGAGGATTCCGCCCGTTTTGCGTGGCTTGCGATCGGTGATCGCTCGGTCGACGTTGGCAGGGGAGCAAACATTGTGATTCTTAGCAGTTAAGTGGTTTTGGATTTCAAACACTCAACCACAATAAGCAAATTTGTAAGATGTATCTTCCTTTAGGGGAATGACCCTTGATACATGGAATGACCAAGGAATGACCCTTATGGGTGCGAGAGAGGCACGGAACCATGGAATGACCCGGATATCAATTCCATCCCTTGCTGGTGGTGTCCTTTAAGGGAATCCCCAGGTTCATTCCCTCATTCCCTACTTCGCACCAGCAAGTTGGTTTTCTGTGAGGGGGAACCAGCCATTTTAGGGTGCGTCGGGAAAAAAACTTCTCGAGTTGGAGCAATGTTTCGGGCCTTTCTGGTTAAACGATTTTTCCTACCAGCAGCCGTCCGGATGTGGGCTACGGTTCGAGAGGGATTCTGAAGCCGGGAACACACCTAAAATTCCATGGGGGGGGTGTTCCCCCTTCTTGGGACTTTATGGGACGAAGGTTTCAGGGGGCTGTTGGACGGGAAGTATCCAGCTCTTCTCCCCTTCAGGCTTATTCAGTTGGCGGAGCCTTAGTTCCTGAATTTAACTACGGGCAGAATCTTCGGAGATCTAGGTGCTTAGGGGAAGTTGCGCCGGTGGTCAAGTGGTGTAGTGTTTGTTCATCCATCCCAACTGCTTCGAAGTGGATTTGATCCACAGTACTCGGTTGACGTGGGAGCAAAAAATTAAACTTTAGCAGTTAAGTGGATTTGGATTTCAACCACGAAACCACAAGAAGCAAAAATGTAGCATGTGTCCCAACAACAACCATGAGTACTCCCCTTCCTTTTCCCGGCGTTTCAGGCAAGACTCCTGGCGTCAGATTCGTATGGCCCGAAGTGATTCAATGACACTACCCCCGGAAAGGAACCTGTTTGTAACCTGCGGGGTTGGTTGGGGGTGCCCGATTTTGTTGACACCAAAAAAACAAAAACAAAACCGAGGATTCATGCATGCCGGGAAATGTGGGCGGAAATGGTTTGACGTTGTCTAGCTTTCAAAGCGATTGACCAAAGCGGCTGTAGCACTTTGGCAGCCATGTTTATTAAACCTGAGAACATTAAAAACAAAATAATCAGCCTGAAAAGGTCAGTTTGAAGAGGTTCAGCACAGTTGTATAAGAGTGCTGAAAAGTGGGAACGTAAAAGCTACAAGTGCCTCAAAAGATTATTGCTATATGTGGCTAGGCAGCTACACTCATTGTCATTGTATTGTAGTATGATCTCCCAGCCCCCGATTTCCCACTCCCCTTGAAGTTGATTCCTCTTTTAGGTATCAAGCCTCAAACCATGTTCACAGGTGAAAACCAGATGACAGGCTGATATGATATCATAGCGCTTCGCTTCGGTCAAAGGATGTTTGGCTCAACAGGTCAAAAGTTGTTTAACGCTCTAAAAGGCGTAGCACCAAAGTTTAAACACCCAACCAGCGATCAAACGCATTAATAAAACTGGACAGAGCCAAAACCAGCAACAACCAGGTGCAACAAAACAACCAGCCAAGAACAGCGGAACCCTTTATGTACGCCTCTTAACATAGGGAAATCTCAAAGATAGATAGATTCCGGAGTTCCACCCTTTGGGTTGCCCAAGCCCAATTGATTCAGGGCACCGACTCCAAGAGTCGCCACACTCATGCGACTCGTGGCTCGCGGAGCTTGCGGAGCTCGCAGCATTTCCAAGGCCAAGGGAAAAGGGAACTCCACTGGGGCAACTGGGGGGGTCAAAAAGATGTGAACACTTAAAATGTTTTGTTTTTTCCCCAACAGCTGAAAGCTTTGGGGTCTCAGCCCAGATTGGCTCCGGGGTGGTTCGGGGCGGTCTCAGGTAAGGTTCCACGAGGGTTCCACGAGGGATCCGCGAGGGTTCCACGGGACTAAAAAGAGCACCGCATGCGGGGATATCACCAGAGCTTTTCATTTTTAAAAAAAAAAAGTGTCCTTGTGTTTTAGGGTTGCGTTCCGTTTCGTCTTTCGATAGTCTTTCCTTTTCTGGTCTCCTTTTGGTTGCACCTTGCTTTCACCTTTGCTTTCACCTTTGCTTTCACCTTTGGTTTCACCTTTGCTTTCACCTTTGGTTTCCTTTCGGTTTGCTTTCGGTTTCCCTTTCGGTTTCCTGTTGGTCGCACCTTCACACCAACCCCTCCGGTTCCACCGGTTCCGGCCGTCTCCCCTCCCGTCTCGTTTCGCGCCAACGGCTTCGGCTCCGAGCCGCTGCTCCGCTTGGCGCAGGGCGTCACCAGCAGCTGCCGCAGCTGGGGCACTCCGCCGCTGGACCTCGCCGACGGAGCGCGAACAAAGCGCGCCAAGCGCGGCTTGAGGGGGGGGGCGCTGGGTGCCTCCAGATTTGAGAGGCTACAATAAGTTGGGACACGATTTTGATGTTGTTTTGTTCCTCTGTTTTTTTTCGGTAGTCTAAATTTAGTAGGGGAACCCTTCTCCCAATAAGGGTACCGACTTTTTGCTGTGCTCGATTAACCCTCCCAATCAAAAAAGGTAAAAATTAAAAGGGCACCAATTGCTGGGGGGCGTCCAGCGGGGAGCCGAGTTTTTGCCGGTGAGGTCCAGGGAAAGGAAAGCGAGGCAACTAAACTGTGCCAGGGGCACAAGCGCTTGGCGGCCTAAGGTAAATACGGGTGTGGCTCAAAATCAAACAGGAGGGGTTACGCAGGTTTTGGTCCATGTTTCCACTTACCAGGCTTCCTTTTTGGTGCCGTTTTTTTTGAGCCACAGCCATATGTTCACCTGTGTTGGAAGCTGGGGCGCTAATAAGCCGCCTTTCTTTGCCCGGCGGTGTTCCAGGGGTGGTTGTCCATTCACCCTGACGAAGGGGTTCAAGTCCAAATCCAAACCAAACCACACATTAAGGGCCACCTGCAATTAAGGATACTGGGTACCATAGTTGGTTGTCGGCTGGGTTTTTAAGGGTACCAATCAGGAACCCAAGCTGAAAGTTTCCAATAGTGTGTTTCAGTTGGTTCTCTGGGGAGGAACCGGCTTTTGCTTTGTGAATGTGGCACAAATTGCGTTCGGCTTGCTTGAAAGGAAAGAGACGAGGGTGTCTCTTTTCTCTTGGACACCCCTTTTTTGGTTCCTTTAGCAAGGAAAAAGGAACATCTCCATTTTGTAGGTGCTTTTCTTGGGCGGGGGGACCTTTTTGGTTCCTTTAGCAAGGAAAAAGGAACATCTCCATTTTGTAGGTGCTTTCCTGGGGCACATAAGACCAAAGGAACATTTCCATTCGGTATGTGCCTTTTTTCTTTGGGGGGGGCATAAGTCCCCGTTTTCCATGTCTTCTTCCTTTTTCTGAGGGGTTTTGCGTCCCGAATCGGAGACATCTCCCTCGGGTTCCGACGTCCTACGGCTCCCACGGCCACGGGCGGGGGCGCCCGCCTGGTCTCGTCGAGCAAGGCCTCCGCCAGGTGCTCCAGAGACTGCCAGGCCTCGGAGAGGCGTTTTAGCGCTCGAGTCGCCTTCGGGGCGACCGTTGGAAGGGGAGCCAAAAAAGAAGCCGTGTTTGTGGTTTCGTGGTTTTATTCTCTTAAAAAAAAAAAAGTGTATATATATATATATAGTTTAGGAGCAAAACAAATTAAATTGTAATTTTGGTGGAAGTTCAGTGGGGATTTCAACCACTAAACCCGCAAAAAACTTGAAAAATGTTCGCAGCTCAGTAAAACATGAAAATAAACCACGAAACCAGACTAAGCAAACATTGTTGGAAGGGGATTTCAAACACGAAACCCGAATAAGCAAAAAACAAAAAAAAAAAGCATGTTTCCCAAAAACAACCATGGGCCAAGGCTTCGGTACCGGTCAAAAGCCTTCGAAGGCTCTTTGGTTTGATGAAACTCGGCGGGCCCCCTCAAACCCGTTTTTCCACCCAACTCACTCCCCACCTAGCAGGGGGTCTTTTTGCCACCTTTCGCGGATCTATGATCTACCCCCTCGAAGTGGAGATTCCTATTTGAGGGGGTCGCCAATTCTCTCACACAAGGTGGACAAAAGACCCCCCTGAACCAAACCCCCAATCCCAGCCAGCAAGAGGGGAGCTGAGGGGTCCAGTAGATAATACAGTAGATAATACAGACACCCTCACAAACGGTGGACAAAAGACTCCCCTCCCAACTCCCCCACCCCAACCAACCCCCCCCTTCCCCCCCGCCTTCTGCACGCCCTTCCCCCCGCTTCCGCCGCCGGAGAGGTGGCGCTCCAGTCGCCGGCGGTTGGACAGCGACGGGGAGGAGTGGCACAAAATCACCAGCAGCTGCAGCTGCTCCAGCGCCACCTTCGTCTTGGGTTTCTTTTGGGCGCCGGTCAGGGTGGCCCCGCCCTTTTTGGGACTGAAGTGTTTCTGTGGTGTTGCTGTTTGTTTTGTCTTTGTTGCTCTTTGCTGTTTTTTTTTTTTTTCCCCGTTTGGGGGGGATTCTGAGTTTGAGGGCTTGACGTTTGTTTGCTTTGATCTTATCTTATCTGAGTACCTTCTTTTTTTGGGGGGGGATTCTGAGTTTGGGCTTCTTCTTTTTTTGCTTTTCTTTTGTTGGGGTTGAGGGCTTGACGTTTGTATTGCTTTAAGTTACGTTGTTTTTTGGGGGAGGGGATTCTGAGTTTGGGCTTGATGTTTTGCTTTTTTTCTTTTTGGTTGGGGGGGATTCTGAGTTTGAGGGCTTGATGTTTTACTTGTCTTTTTGTTGGGGGGGATTCTGAGTTTGAGGGCCTCACGATTGTCTGGATTTTTTTCTTATTTTTATCTACTCGTTTTTTGTTTGGGGGGGGGGATTCCGAGCTTGAGGGCTTGACGTTTGGTTGCTTTAATTGCATTTTATCTGAGTACCTTTTTTTTGGGGGGGGGGGATTCTGAGTTTGGGCTTGATTTTTGTTTCTTTTCTTTTGTTGGGGTTGAGGGCTTGACGTTTGTATTGCTTTAAGTTACGTTGTTTTTTGGGGGAGGGGATTCTGAGTTTGGGCTTGATATGTTGTTTTTTTCTTTTTGGTTGGGGGGGATTCTGAGTTTGAGGGCTTGATGTTTTACTTGTCTTTTTGTTGGGGGGGATTCTGAGTTTGAGGGCTTGACGATTGTCTGGATTTGTTTCTTATTTTTATCTACTCGTTTTTTGTTTGGGGGGGGATTCGGAGTTTGAGGGCTTGACGTTTGGTTGCTTTAATTGTATTTTATCTGAGTACCTTTTTTGGGGGGGATTCTGAGTTTGGGCTTGATTTTTTTCCTTTTCTTTTGTTGGGGTTGAGGGCTTGACGTTTGTGTTGTTTAATTTTATTGTATTTAGTTGGGGGGGGGGGGGAATTCTGAGTTTGAGGGCTTGAAGTTTGAGCGGGAATTAAGGTTCCAAATGCTTCCTGCCCATGGAACGCTCGCAAGCTTGTGGGTGAAATTCGGAGACCCAACCGAGCCAACCAAAAAGATCTCAAAAGCTCAGCCGCCAGAGGAACCGGATGCCTGGGAGCCACCGAGAAAAAAAAGTTGGTTCCTCTTCTTCTCCGAGCTCTGAGCGGGAGGGGCGTTTGGCGAGCGCACAGGGAGGCCCCCCCCGCGAGTATTTGTAGGGATGCCCATCATCCCCACTGAAACCAAGCAGAAGAGCACCTACTAAAATGGCGTCAACGGTCCCGCGACTGCCCAGCGCCCACGACGCGCCCACGACGCGCCCAGCGCGCGCCTCCGCGTCTTCATCCGCCTCGTCCAGCACGCGGAGCGCTGCTTCTACGCGGCCCTTCTCGAAGTGCGCGCGCGCCCGCGCCAGGTAGGCGCGGGGCGACACGGGCACGCGAAAGCCACGCACCAGGAGGTTCCAGAGCCTTGTCCAATCGTTGTTTTCGTGTTTTTGTTGTTGACTGTTTTTCTTAGCTGTTGATTGAGCGCCATCTTCCTTGGGAGCAGGGTGGGTGTCTCTGTTTTGGGGGGGTTGTAGCTGATTTGTTGGGGTTGTTGGTATGGTGTCTTTTTCTGGTGTCTTTCTTCTGGTGTCTTCTTGGGGGTTGTGTCTGATTTGTGAAGGGAAACCAGAAGGAACACCATGCCATTTTCCGGGGGTCATTCTGGGCCTGTCCCGACTGGATTTGCTCGGAAGTTGGAAAGTGGTTTTTTGAGTCTCCCAAACCAGGGTCAACTGTAACTAGGTCCTCCAGCAGAGAGGTTTGAATAAGGGTGCCCTTTTTTCTGTAGTCTATTTTAGTAGGGGAACCCTCCCCCAAGAAAGGGTAAAAGGGCACTACTGGGGGACCTAGGTAATCATGCAGGGGGTCACTGGATTTCCCCAAATCAAAAGTTGAAGATTTCACTGGTGGTTTCCATTGAAACAATGGGGCTCCAAAGAACGAGATGGGGGCCCAAGAATGATGCAACTTTGCACAAAGGATCCGGAAATACATTGTTCAGAACTCACCCTTGGATGGTTTTTCGAGGAAAGCCAAGGGGAAATCCAATCAGCTTTTCTGGGCCCTACTTCAAGATGATCCACCCCAAGATTCCATTTAGGCACTTAGGCTTAGACCCAGGGCTTCCCCCCGTTTCAAGAAGTCAACGTCACTTGCTCCACCTGAAACGCTTGCGGTTTTGGGGGACTCCGAGGCCCAAGACCACCCCCGGCGGTTTTGCTTGGACTTCCCTTTCAAATCTTCTAGCTCAGTTGTTCAGTGACCCTGGAAAAGAAAGGGAACCCTTTTTGGGGAAGACCATTTTAGTGGGGCAGCCACCAAAAAAAACGGGGAAAAGAGACTCGGGGCCACTGAACAACTGAGCTAGGCACAGCTCTGTACCAACTTTCGTCTCTTAAGGCCTTCGGGAAGGAACCGTTGGATCCGCGAGAGGAAAACCGAATCGAGGGGCATGGCCTCTCTATGGCTCATTCCATTTTGCATTTGCCCGAACCAGCAAGTGAGTCAATAGAACTCACACCAGAGTCTCTTGGAGTTCCCGGTTCCCTTCTCCGACTTTGGGATCCGATTCGACGTTTCTAGAAACAATGGCCACGGGTCAAGAGCCAAATCGTACCCCCAGAGAACATCCGATGCAATCCAACCACTAAAATAGGTTCTAAAATGGGGGGTGAATTCACCTACCAACCAAAATGGGATCCCATGGGTTTTGACAACCACAGCCACATCACCCCAAGAGCTTCCCTCACAAACCAGCGATCGCCGAGGCGCTCGTCCGTGCGCTGCCAGTCACTCCGCTCGGCGGCGGCCGACAGGAGCGTAGAAAGCACCGACTGCCGGGCGGTCGATAATTTTTGTTCTGTTGTCTTCGGCCGCTCGGCTGGATTGCTCCAATCCCCCCAAACAAACGGACGTTAGACCTTAGACCTTTACTTGGTTGACGTTGGAAGGGGAGCAGACCCCAGAGGTGGTATCGTGTGCCTTTCTAAGGGTGGTTGGTATAAAGGGAAACCCAGAACCCAACCATTTTGGTCCTTGATTTGGGTGTGTCTCTTTTCAGACCCCCCCCCCCACACAAAAAAAAAGATTGCCTTGAAACGGTACCCCCCCCCCCAAAAGCAAACGGCAACCCCACATCCAACCCCACTACAGTCCTGAGACCACCACAAAAACGGGTACCAAACAAAACCCAAACAAAAACCCAAACAAAACTAAACCACAACAAAATGCAAACAAAAACCCAAACAAAACTATACCACAACAACAACGGGTACCCCCAAACAAAAAAAACCCCAAAAAAATGGGTACCCCCCAAACAAAACGACCCCCCCCCCCCGTTTTGAGACCACCCCAAGAAACCCTCTCGCCTCGTCCATTTCCACCCGGCGCTGGTTCATCTGCCGCAGCAGGCGGTCCACCGCATCGCTGCGGCCTCAAGCGGAGAGGCGAGATGCGACCCGCGGAAAGAGTGCCTTTTTTGTCTTTTCTTTTTTTTTATGAGTCTGTGTTGCTGTTGTTGTTGTCGCTTTTATATATATATATATATATAGGTATATGAGGGTACCCTCTTCACCCATTTGTACCTTTCTTGTTTCTTCTGAGGCTCCCCTCTTGGGCTTGCGGAGGCGGCGCTTCGCACAAGGATAAACAAACCCGCCGTCTGTCTGTGGTTGTACCTTTCTGAAGGTCAATAATCACAGGTTGAAACCAGGAGCAAACCAAGTCAGAGACCAGGAGAAAACCAAAGCACCAAGAAGGAGAATCTGGTTGTAAAACAAATACCGACCGGACCAATGTGCCTGTGGGTGGTGCCTCCGGATGTCCATGGGGAAAAAACGGGGCAGGCCGCCCCTTTGTTTGGCTGAGGTGAAAGTTGAAGACAACAGAGAAAAGTGAATATCAACTCCAAAACATTTTGGGGAAACACAACAAGCCACCAGCTTCCCTCTTACTGCCCTTATAAACATGAACCAGGGGTTCAACTCCCCAAAACGCCAATCCAAACCGCCAACTAAGGGGAACCTGGGAACGAAGCACTGGAACTTTCTACCCCACCCTGAGCAAACCTTGGCGAATCGACTGGTCGGTTCATCAAGTGGATCAACAGTAGTTTCGGTGGACGCATGGGAACAGAGGGGGAGACGAATCCGACCGCAACCCATTACCAGGGTGACATTATTGTTGAAAAGTCTCATCATCCCCTGGTGCCCTGCAAAAAGTCTCATTATGCTCTGATGTACCAATCAATTGGCTGGATCTGGCTGAATGCTGGATGTGGCCGTGCTTGGAGTCGGGTAGTTGGCTCACGCGTCTTTCAAGCGAATTCGCGATATGGTCCCAGGAGGCACACCATGGACTAGCCCTGTCGACATGCAACGCCACATTGGAGATGGGCTTGCTATAAAATTCCGATGGGGTGCTTCACTTGTCACCTCTGAAAGCGTCAAATGTATCCTAGTATATCCTAGCTAGTTACACAGGTCGGCAATCTAGGGGAAGCCACTAGCGCTCTCTTATACCAACTAAACTGGTTGTTCAAAGAACATGTATATGGCTGTGTCTCAAATGGCGAACCTCTGGTGGCTCCCATATTTGTTTCGGCAGTGAAGAACCGTTAAGATACTTCCCCGTTCAACGCACAGAACGGAAGCCCAAGCAACATCAGCAGCGCAAAACCGGAGCAAAAGGATTCACCAACCCCAAGCTTCGTCGCATCTCCGCGGCCACTGGAGCTGTTCTTCTCAGATCTCAGGGCTGATCGGGGGGTGTCCTTTTCTCACTCCCTGGGTCGGGACCTGATACTTGGCAAGATGGCGAACACCAAAACCACTCCCTTGGTTGACGGTGGGTTAGGGGAGCAAAAATCCTCAAATTTTAGCAGTTTTAGTGGATTTGGATTTCAACCACTAAACCACAAAAAGCAAAAATGTAACATGTGTCCTAACGACAAGCATGCTCCAGGAACAACGAGACTTTTCAACTATGGTCAGCCTTGATGGGATGCCGCCGGGCTCTTAGGCACATATTTTTCCCCAAGCACCCACCGTAACTCATGTTGATCCACAGGATGATGAAACTCTTGCAGGGCAGATCTACCATGTGAACAAAAAGTCACACCTTCTGTTGCCCCTCCTGTAGCCCGCAAAAAAAAGTTGTAAAGCAAACAATATCTGATATGTTGGCTGCAAGCCAGGCGATTTTGGGAAATGAATAAGCCTTTCTGTGATACCAAAGTGCGCCACGACTATAATACTAATTACTTTGGCACGTATCAGGATTTCCTTATCAAAGGCCCATAGGTGGCCTTTGGGACAAATCGATGGGTTTCCCTGGTAAATGGAACACAAAACCCCTCGAAACCTTCTGAAACCCATCTCTTTTAGCCAGGCCCACCCAAAAAAGGGACACCTATGCGAAGGCCGCCGATCGATCCGAATCCGACGAAGAACGACTCCGCGCCTTGCGCCTCCCAGAAGCCGAGCATGACCTTCGCCGCCTCCGGGTCCAGGATCTCCTGGCCCTCAGCAGGGTATGTTGAATTCTTTAGCTGTTGGTGATTTGGGGTTCAGCCGAGCCGGGCTCCTTAAAAGATCTTCATTTTGCAACCATTTGAAACATGTGGCTTTTTCAACACCAAAATAAAGTTGGAAAGCACCATTTGCAAGTTGCAATGTTCAGGTGTACAATGCAAGGATCCCTGTTCAGGGATTAGGGCTGAGGGTTCAGGGTGAATGTGGAACAAAAAACCTGGAAGAAAAATGGGTCACCATCATGTGAGTCACAATCAAAACCTGGAACAAAAATGGTGAACCCAGAACCATGCTTCACGAATTAGAAAGGCGGCCGCAACTATTTACAGCTGGGACTGCCCCCTTTTTGACCTTTGTCTACCCGGGTTTTGATTGTGCCTCATGTGTTGACTTCTTAGCTGTTGGTAGTAGCGAGTTCGCCCTCCTGTGCAAACCTCCCCCCCAACCCCCGACAGTCACCCACTGCCATCAGAACTCCTGGTGGCTCCGTCTTAGGCCTCATCGAAGGCAAACAAATTGGATACCCTCCCACTAACATGGCACCTGACAGGAAAATGATCTTTCAGGTACCCTCCCACAAATGCAATGTAAATGGAACCAAGTCTTCCATTTCGGGGTCCGTTCGGGAGCTTCCATGCAATCGTCTGGGGGTAAGGCTGACCCCAGATTAATCAACCCGGAGTTTATGAACAGGGGGCGCTGCTCGAGGCCAAAACCACCCCCCTGGTAATCAACCGGGGTTGATGAATATGGAGCCCAAAATGAAAAAACATCTAGCAGTTAAGCGGATTTGGTTTTCAACCACTAAACCACAATAAGCCAAAATGTGAAAAATGTTTCAACCAACAACAACCATGGCGCCAAGGCTTCAGGACCTGTTGGGTTTATGGCTTTCGCGGCGCGCGGGAGAGGGGCTTCGAGGCCCTGGTTTGTCATTGCCTTGTTCTCAGCTCCTCGACCTTCGAACCGTGAGAACCCGCCTTTCGTTTCGGCGCCGCCCCGCTCCCCCGCATCCCCGCATCTCCGGCTCGCGTCCCCCGCCTGGGCCCAGTCCCAGATCAGCTCTGCCAGCCGCTGCCCGCCCTTGGCCTTTGCGCAGAGCCGCAGGGCTGCGCGCACCAGCTCCGGCAGCTCCTGGTGCTTGGTGGCGGCTCTTCGTTTCTTTTTGCTTTTGTTTTTTTGGGGGCATCAAAGGTGAAAGCTCCTGGCAAAGGGAAACCAAAAAGGAAAGAAAAAGTAGGAAAAGACAGACACAGTGGAAGCAAAGGGAAGCAAGAAACTAACTTCCACTTCTCAAAACCCTAGAAAACTGATGTGGGAGTGCCGACTAAACCCTAAACCCTAAACCAGCAAAATGTACCCAAACCAGCAAAATGTGCTGAATGGACAGCAGTGGAAAGAAAAAGGAGGAACCTGGATAGCCAAGTTGCTGTTTTTGTTCAGTCACTGTTGCTGGTTTTTGGGGTAAAGTGGATGGACAAAAAGCAGCAACTGGCGATCCAGGAAAAGACAAATCGACATGTTATCTAGGTCCTCCAGTAGAGAGGTTAGAATAAGAGTACCAACTTTTTTCAGGACGTCTATTTTAGTAGGGGAACGCTCCCCCAAGAAAGGGGTGAGAAAGGGCACTACTGGGGGACCTGGTGTTATTATTTGGTCTTTGTCACGGGGTCGCCGGCCAAAAGAAAAAAGGGGCCGTTGAGAATCATGATGGAAATTCATCTAGGGGACCTGAAGGCTGCAACCAGGCACAGTGGGTCACTCAAAGGGACCAGGACCCTCAACCTGGCCAAATGGGAGGCAATTCTGGGTGGATTTCCCTTCAAGGGTCCGGTTTCCAGCCCGCTTTTGTCAGTCCAACTGAGCACGGGAGCTTGTGCAAGGCACTCTTTTTGGGTCGCGCGACTCGCGCCTCTTGCATCTCCTCCTCGGATTCCGGTAGCTCTACGGCCCTGCCACCGGCCAAGGCCCAGAACGGACGGCCGAAGGCGAAGGGGCGCAAACCGTGGATTCGCTGTCTGGATACTTGCCCCGTCTTTACATAGGTGTGTCTTTTATTGGGGACCCCACCCAAAAAAAGAAAGGAGGAAGAAGAAGAAGAAGAAAAAGAACAAGAAGAAGTGGCTTTCCCTTTGGTTTCTCTTTAAGATCACAAACACAGGGGTATCCTCAAAAAAGGCACTCACATGATGGCTTCAACCAGGGGAAACCAAGACTAGGGGTAATTGATAATGAGGTTAGAAAGCAGCCAGATATTTACTTCCAGCGGGTTTTCATTGTGTGCCCTCACCTACTACACGGCCAACTGGATCCACTTGGGGAGCTATCATGGTTGTGGAACCCTTTCTGACAGATCCGTCCACATAAGAAATTAAGAAATTCATCTCGAAACAAAGCAGCAACTTAAAATCCATTTGAGGGTTGTTCAGAAAGAAATTGGAACCGTCCCAATTTAGGACCCTGCCCCTTCATGTTTGGGTCCAGAAAAAGCCTCGCCTTTTTGAACAACCCTGATGTTCGTCTGCCATGCAGGCGAAGCCCCCCAAAGTGTCGTTGCCCAACGGCGGCCGAATCACCCAGTCGCTTAACCCCTGCCACGGTCCCTTGAAAGATGCTGGCGAAACAGGTACTGAAAGAGGTCACGTTTAGGCTCTAGGACCGTTCTCCATACAGCCATACACCTGTCCATTTTGTTCAGGCACTTCAAATTTCGTCACATGTTCCAAACTGGCGAATCTCAGACCAAGACAAGTTCGGGTTTCCCATTCAAATATGCAAAACAAAAAAGAGACCAAGACAAATTATCGTTTCTCTTATTGAAGTATGCAAACCAAACTCAAAAAAACGAAACAGCCTCCAAATCGTTCAGGCCAAGGCAAAACCCTGTTTGGTCCAGCGGCCCCCCCCTCATCATCCCCCATCAGCCCCCCATCCCCCGCTTTCAGCAGGCCTGAAAGTGCGCTGCGCCAGCTCAAGGACCCTCGCCCCCTGGGCGCTTGGCTCCGACCCAGCAGCAGGTGTTGGTTTTTTCGGACCCGAAAACTCAAAACTGAGTGGACCCCTTCATTTTCCGACCCAACTGAGTTGTGTCGGACCCAAATCGCAACTGAGTGCTGAAGAGTCATAAACGGTTGTGGGGTTGGAACCGAACGGGTCTGTGCCGTGGTACTCAAAGCCAACTGTGGCTTGGAGCCCCTGTTCAGCTTTCCTTCAAACCTTTCAGTGCCCTGTTTTTAGACATAGTTTGGGGGCGTGCTCGAGTTGCTTCTCTGTATAAAAACAAAGCAGTGTGGTTGTATGGTTACAAAAAGCAGCATTGGGAATTTGCCGGCCCAGGCGTTGGTGGGAATTTGCAAAAAAATAGAGCCTATCAGTGTTTTTGTTTTGCTAAAATCAAACAATGTGGGAATTTACAAAAAATAGAGCCTATGAGTTTTCTTATCCAGCTTATGGTTTTGCTTACTCCAACAAACCATATGGTACGTTAATCAAAGCGAACGATCGAGTTGTTGTGTGCGCTTCTGTTTAAGGGTATGGTCAAAACGGCACCTTGGTTTGGTTACCTGGTTGAGAGGAACCCTTACATTGGTTGTCAAAAGGGTTTGTCTTCAAATAGGAACCGGACCCCCCCCCAGCCTGTCATTGTATCGTGGTTCTTGTCGTAGTTATAACCCTCTCTTGTTCCTATACTTTCCCTTTCCTTGGTTGACGGTGGAAGGGGAGCAAAATTTAAGTTTTAGCAGTTAAGTGGGGGTTTCCCACTAAACCACAATAAGCAAAAATGTAAAATGTTTCAAAACGAGTACCCCAAAAAGACCAGCCAAGCCCCCAAGAGGTTCATGAACCTCTGGCGCGGCGTTCTCGGTTCTGGGTCCTCCTCTGCTCTTCTGCAAGCTTGAGCAGGTCTCTGAACCAGGTTTCCTTTCTAGGTCCTCCAGAATTGAGAGGTTTGAAAAAGGGTGCCCGATTTGTTTTTGTCTATTTCAGTAGGGGAACCCTCCCAACCAAGAAAGGGGTGAGAAAGGGCACTACTGGGGGACCTGAATTTGGTTTCCCTTCAAGCCAACCCAAAAAAAAGGTACCGAGCGTCACAGCAAGATACATCCATAGAAATCGACACCCCCACTCAACCAACCGAAAAACAAACTATATAAAAACCTAGGTTCTATCCTAGGTTCCATCCTTTGCATCCTAGGTGGCGCAGCAGGCTTGGATGCCAACTCCACCACAGCAACCCTAAAAGTTGAACACCCCCACTAAACCAACCTACAAGCCACCTCCCAACTTCTAGGCACACCCCCCAAACCAACCTGAAAGACCAACTACCCCCCCCTGGCCGGTGAGGTTCTCTCGGCTCCGAGTGTTTTCGATTTCTACATATGTATATATATATATATATACATATTATTATTATTTATTTATTTTTTTGGGGGGGGGGGGCGGAAAACCGCCAAACCTCGCCCAGGCTTTCGCCTTCCCGCCTTCCCGCCATCCCGCCTTCCGCTTCGAGGCATTCCGCCCCAGCGCCTGGAACACGGCGCTGCCCTGGCGCAGCGTCACGCGGCCCTCCGCCAGCGCCTGGCACCGCGGGGAGTCGCGGCGGCTGTGGCGCTGGCGTTTGCCCGCCGATCTTCGAGCTCCCCCCCGACTTTCGTCCACTGGAAAATAAATAAATATATATATATATATATACACATATATATATATATATATGGTACCCCCCCCCCAAACCCGTGTTCGGTCTGAAAACACTGGTATTTACTGTGTTTTCTGACAAAAAAACTGATCCTGCCAGAACCCTCAGTTGTCAGGCTGATTTTTCAGTTTTCAAGGAAGCTCTCTGGAAACTCTCTGGCAATTCCTCAATACAATTCAGACAAGAAACTCTCTGCAAAACTGAACAAACTGCAAAAAACTGAAAAAACTGAAAACCGAAAAAACTGAAAAAAAACTGAAAAACTGAAAAAACTGAAAAACCAAGGATTCTGAGGGACATGACCTCCCCCAGCCATGTCCCTCAGAATCCTTGGTTTTTCAGTTTTTTTAGTTTTTTCAGTTTTTTCAGTTTTTTCAGTTTTTCAGTTTTCCAGGGCATCTGAGCAGATCCGAGCCCATATTTGAAGCTGTCTGGCTCCAGTGCTTCCTTGCTCCTCTTCTGTCCTAGCATGGCCAAGGAGCCTGAGGATATGACCTTTGATGACCTCAAGAACGCATGCGACGCTTACGTATGCAGAAGCATGCCATCACCCTTTGTGTCCTCCTCACTGCCAATTGGCATCTTCAACCACGTCAATTTCCCCATGGCGGAGGCAGGCGGCGTGGAGGCCAACCCAGGCGTGCACTGGCTGGAGCTCGTCACAAGGCACCCTCTTGACTTCAACTTTGATGACCTGTCCACGTGCTGCTCCTGGCCCCCTTTGGTGTCAAAACGGAGGTGCCTCGCGACACGAAGCTCCAGATGGTCATCCGGGAAGAGTCGGATGGAACATGCACTGTCCTCAAGCACTTTATCTTTCCCCAAAAGTGCAAAGCCAATTTCCTCAAGACTGTCTTCTATGGCCAGGTCCACAGCTGCTGTATATGCGGCAGCAACCCACTGTGGGCCGGAAGACTCTCCAGTACTGTCTGGAGAGCATGGGGGGGAGGCAACTCAGATGCTTTCAGCTAACCTTGCAAGCCACCGCCCCGCGCAAGCAGGCTGCCTTTGAAGAGCTGGAAGATGAGGACCTTGATGCAGGCTTTGACTTCCTGTCCAAGCATGGCCCCAGAAGTGGATCTGATCTTCAGCAACTTCGTTGGCAAACAAAGGAATTGCGCAAGAAGGATTCCCCAGTCTTTGGCTGGCCCCAAGCACTGGTGGACAAAGCTCTTCGCACTTTGTCCTCCGATGGTGCCCTTGCCAGAAAGGAATTCGACTGGCCCCTGCCTTTGACATCTACCTTCTTCAGACCCTGGGTGCTCGAGATTCTTGAGGCTGTGTGGGATTTCAACAAGTCTTCCTTGGTGCTGTTGGGGGAGAGCGGTGCAGGCAAAAGTCCTTTGGGAAGGAGTGTCCTGATGGCTCAGTGCAGGCGGAACAAGCAGATCTTTGAATGTCACCATTGCCTTGCATTAGGTGCACACCTGAGCTGGACTTCTTGTGCGGGGAGGCGTGAGCATTGGCGACTTTCTGGATGACCCGACCTCATCAGAGCTCAGCATCAAAGCGCTGAAGTCTTTGCTTGATGTAGGCTTGTATGAGTCTATGTCCTGGGCAAGATGGGGTGCAGTCAAATGGGTTCAGAACCAGCCCCGTGCCCTCGCAGCAGACACCTATGACGAGAACGTGAACGAGGGTGAGGACTACATCCAGCACATCACGTTCGCTGACTTCAAGAAGATGGTCCGGCCTAGCATTAAGGGAGACGCATCTGGTGCAGATGTGGATGCAATCTTCAAGCGCGCATGCTTCATCCTCAACACCAAGAAGTTCGTGTACTACCGCCCTTCTGGAGTTAACGAGGTTAAGGTGGCACGCCGCTTTGTGGAAGGCCCTGACTTTCTGACAGGAAGATGCTGTATGGCAAGTACAAGGACAACTGCAAGACATTGCCCGAGAATTTCGAGGAGGAGGTGCGCAAAGAGCAAGCCTGGCTTGAGCTTGTCTTCAAGCAGAAGCAAGAGAAGCAGGACCCCAAGTACAAGCAGAACCAGCAGCTGAGGCAGCTCTTCCGTGGGCGTGAGGACAACAAGTCTTGCCTCGAGAAGATGGAGACGAAGGTCAAGGTCAAGAGAGAGATCGAGGAAGCCCGGGCAGACGAGGCCTTGAAGAAGGCCAAGGTCTGGAGCACAGAGCTGAAGGCCAGTAGGACTTTCATTGTGTTGGATGATGAGGATAACACGCAGGCCGACACGGTGCAGGAGACTAAGGAAGACCCAGAGTGTGAAGAGAACCCCTTTGGTCATGGCACCTTGGAGTGAGCATTTTGCAAAAGGGCGTGGGTTCAAACTGTGGTATATTCGCACAGTTTGTATGACACAGTGGCTACCTCCAATGGTACGCATGCACAAACTAGTGTGCACTTGACACATATAGCAAAGGGGCTCTTTGCTTAATTAACACACTCCGCGCATGGCTCTCATCAAGAAAAAAAGGAGCTTGCATTTGCAGTCTGCATAGTGCCCGTGCCTCTGAAAAAAATGTTGTCACGCATGTCCCTCACACGCACATGCTTTCAAGTCTTTTGGCTTTCTACGCAGACTGCTAAGCTCGCTCTCTCCTACTTCCCGATGGTGGCTAAGTTCAACCCTTTCCCTGATCCGAAGAAGGGCAAAGGCCGCACACTGCTCAAGAGGCCTGCGATGAAGAAGAACAAGACGTGGGATGCTGTGAAGTACACCAGGACAACTTCACTGGCAGCTGGACCTGGCGGCCACCGCATGGACCGCTTCAAGCGGAAGAGGTCTTTGACTCAGCTGCTTACAGCCACCCCCTTGAATGTGGTGAAGATGCTGCGGGCTGACCGCATCCTCCCAAAGTGCATTGACGCAACGTGTAGCATTCGGCCCGAAATCCCTGATTTTCTGAGCCTCTCCCACCAATTCGTCATCGAGCGCATCATGGCTGTGAGAAGGGCACCTTGTCTGGGCTGAAGCTCGAAGCTGGCACAGGCATGCCAAAGCACCGGTGCTCCCATTGGAAATGCCGTGTCTACATCAACCCACAGCACCTGCACCCTCTCTTCGTGGATGGCCGTGGCGCTGCTGCGCAGCCCTTGCAGACACAGGCAGCCCTCCTCATGTTGAAGCTCAACAACATTTCCAACCCTGCGGTCCATCGTCTTCTTCATGTCAACCACAAGATGGTCGAGGACCTTGACAAGAGGCTGTGTCATGCTCGCAAGACATGGGTGGAGGCAAAGGAGAAGGACATTGTCTTTGGCAAGGACCAGAAGTGGGCGGATGTCGAGGCGGACGAGACAACCTTCGATCGCATGGACCTTGGTAACAAAGCCCCTGACCCCAAGAACCCGGCAGTGGTGGCCACCCGGAGACACTTGTCTTGAGCAGGCTGTCCCTCAGGGAGTCGGCCAAGAGAGCTCCCGGGCCTGGCGCCATCAGAAAGGTGGAATGGACTCCTTTGGCAAGGAAGTGGTTGCAGGACAAGAAGGTCGCGAAGCACAAGAACCCGATCACGAAGAAGACGATGACAGTGAAGTCTGGGACACAGGTGGTTGATCGGGCCTGGAAGTTTTTGAAGGACAGGTTGACCATCAACCAGAATGCGAAGGTAGGGTCTTCTTTGTTACGAGCAAAGCTTCGTTCTGCACAGTATCAGTACTGGTATAGGAACCAGGACATGTGGGTTGCATCTGGGACACTGTGCGAATGGTTGATGACTAAGTTCATCAAAAAGCCATCCCAGTGAGTGTGATGCAGGCTTTCTCGGGGGCCTGGTTCAAAAGGAGTGCCTTCTGCATGCACGCATGCCAAAACACGGGTTTTGGGAGGGGGGGTAGCATATCTATATATATATATATATGTCCAAGTAAGGTTGGTGTTTTTCGTCTGGAAGAAATGAACAGTATGTAGGTGTGGGCCAAAATTTCAAACCGCCAGGTTTGGCGGTTTGGCCGGTTTCCTTTTACTGGGCTTCTGACTTGGGTACCTATTTTTGACCCACACCCATGTCCTGTAGTCATAATTTTCCCTTTGAAACCAACAGCGGTAAATCAGCAAGATTCGTTTCAGCAAATGGAAGTGGCAGAGAATGCTGCGGGAAAAGGGGCAATCGGTGTTTGGGGTGGTGATTTTTTTTTTTGGGGGGGGGGGCGGCTGATGTTTTGTTTGTTTTGTGTGCGCGTGTGGTTGATGTGTTTTTTTCTTGATTTTTTTTGGTGGATGAAGAAGGGAACTCCAACAAAAGGCTGGGGCACGAATGGTGTGTAGCACTATGAAGAGGCCCCGAAACGGGGGGGCCTCAGTTGTTGATTCCCCTTTTGGGCCTTTCTGGATTGATGCTAAAGGGACCCTAGAATCTAGGGCCTAGACCGCCAAGCTGCAAATGGATTTCGCAGCCATCCACCGCATGGCGGGAGCCTGGCCCTGTCCGTGGAAACCGCCCCCGCCTGGCGCCAGCCGGGCTCCCGGCACTCCAGGGAGTCCAGGATCGCCTCCGGAGAGCGGTCTGGGGGAACTGCGGGCGGGGGGGGGGGGGTTCTGGCGGGGCCTGGCGGGGGCGGGGGCTGGGGGGGCTGGGGGGGGGCGGGGGCTGGGGGGCTGGGGGGGGAAGTTCGGTGTTCAACTCGCAAGAGGCAGCACCAAACAAGCCGTGCAAAGCAACTGAGGGTTGCTTCAGAATTGAAGGGTGGAGAAAAGCCAACACAAAATGATCTGTCCCCGATTGTTTGGTTTCCGGGGTTGAAATGGAGGGAAAACGACGAAATGAACCATCCCTTCTCAATTACATTGTTTCCTGGGTAAGGTCTGGCCGTTGTCCAATGTTTGCTCCTGAAGGGAGGCTGGCCACCTCCGCATATTTATCGAACATCCGGGATGGGATCCCCCAATGATCAGGTAGTCCTTCGTTGGTGGTTTGGATTGAGTGGGAACTGGATTTGGATTTGAGCGGGTCCCTGGTTTTTTGTTTGTTAAATCACTAAACCACCGTGCTCCAAGCCACCAATTAGAAGAAAGCTGATATGAAAGGAAGCTTCATAAGTGAGGTCGCACACCCTCGAGATTTCATTACCCCGTCGCAAGGAAAGCAAAGCTCATGCTCTAAGCTCTTTGCAGGGCCATTCTGGAGGGTGGGGTGGAAGGCCCCGGTGTTCTATGTATTAATCAAGATTGGGGTGAATCTGTGCACTCCGCCGGTTCCGCTTGTCAGGAGGTCCCTATTCACACCCCCAAAGAAAAAAAACTATTCCAACCACCCACCACCGCGCACTCAAAAGCTACTCCCCCCCAAAAAAAACAAACAAACCACTCTCACACACACACACACACACCAAAACCCCCCGAACAAGCACTGCCCCAACAAGGCTTTACTGGGCAACCTGCGACGAACCAAGGGAGCTTCGCTGTCTCCCCCCGCCTCGCGCTCCTCTTCCAGATGCTCCTCCGCCCCATCCGCCAGGCCATAGCGCATCTCCCCCAGCGCACGCAGGGGCGCGCGCCCCGCGGCCTGGCGCGCGCATGCGCCGCGCATGCGCCGCTTGGGCGGCAGAAAACGAAAAAAAGTCGGTGGCACCAAAATGGGTCTTGCCCTTCTACATGGGTTGCTTCTCAAATTGATTTTCTGTTGGTGTCCGTTTAAATCGCACGAATCAATCGGCATAGATGTTCCTTCAAAACTCCAAACAGGCCAGGAGCCACCAACAAAAAAAGGCCGACATGATCAAGCTGCAGGCACGTGGAAACCCACTCAAAATGGGTCCTGCATGCTTTGGTGTGGATCCACGGGCTTTGTTCCGGTTTGCTCGGAACATCGAAGGAGAAAGCCCAGCATTTTGGGACCCGGTCCCCTAAGACGCCAGGAACTTTGGGCTATGTGGCTAAAGGAAGTCCAACTACCAACCACCAAACCATGGCAGCTGATGGCCTTATTCCGGTACTGGCCTCAAGAAACCGTGCATTTTCACTGGGGACCCTTTGGCGGACTCCATTTCGGTGGGGATCCATGTCCACCAATCACTTTCAAGGTGGTTCGCTATAGAAATCCTATAGCCAGTCGGCAAACCGCAGCTATGTGCGCGGTTCAATGAGCAAACCTTTCAAGGGTGAATTCCTTCTCGTCGCCTTTCAACCCCCCCCCCCCCCGCCCCAAACAAAAGCGGGCACCTATGGAATATTAATCCGAGCCACTGGAACCCATCTAATTCCAACCAAACTCAGCTGGCTGTGGGTCAAAACCCTGTACCGCTGGTGAACATCAAAATAGGCGGCAAATGGATGCTCATCCACCCCAAAATGGGATCGCCATAGGTTGTGCCCCATATACAGCTACAAAGGGACGCCTATGAGTAGCTCCAAACCAAAAAAAACCTCCGCCAGGCCCGGCCGAACCCGGTGCACGCCGATGGCGCACGCACGCCTTGCCGGCGTTGCCGGCGTTGCGGCGGCGCTGCGCCGCGCGTGCCAGCCAGCGCCTGGCCTGCGCCGTCTGGGCTGCACGTTTTCAGATGCCCGGCTAACAGTTTGACTCACTTTTAGTGGGTCAAATGGAAACCCACAGCCAATGTAGTCTTGACCCACAGCCAAATGGGTCAAATGGAAACCCAACCACTAAACACTAAAAGTCTAAAAAGCTAAGGGACCGGATGGCTGGGAGCCACCAAGCCGCGAGAAAGAAGTCTCTGCCGCTTGGCCGCGCGATCGTTTCCCAAGTGGGTAACCCAAACCTGGTTGAATGCCGTGCAAGCGACCCGATCGCTTCCCAAGTGGGTCACCCGGTCGAAGGACGTGGTCATTATCCAGCTGAGGCATAGAATGCAGAAACCCTTAATCAATTCTGGCGAAAACTGACCCATTTGCCCTCTACGAAAACAGAGTCAAAAACCCTGCTAAAACTTAAAATGGTTTGGTCTTTCAATTCTGGCAAGCGCTTCCCAATCGAATGGTATTCAATGGGGCCTTCTCCTTCTTTCCCCCTCTCCCCAATAAATCGCTGCGTCGAACAGACACTGTGCGCTATCGCAAAGGCAAAGGTATTCAATGGTTGAAAAAAAAACGGTTAAAAAAAACAAATGCTGTTCAATGATATTCGATGGTCTTTCTATAAACCCGGTCAAAAACCCGGCTGAGTGTCAAAATGGTTTACCCTTTCAATTCTGGCGATCGCTTCCCAATTGAGTACTGTTGGCAGCTTCGCTGGGCAGGTTCCACAGAATCCCACCGGGCATTCCCAGAGTGGGTGGCTTCCTTTTGGGAACCCCGCTGAAAGACAATCCATTGAGTCATAATCCAAACTCGGCACTAGAATGGCCGATCCCCGGAACCATCCAAAGAACTGAACAGGACGCCCATTTAAGGGGAGTGTGTCTTTAATCTCCAACTGCCCGGGTTTTGAGCGCGACTCGATTGGTGCTTTGGTTTGGGGTCCAAACGAAGGCAAGGTGTTGGTGGCGGGATGTTCAATTTTTTGGGGTCTTGCCCCCAACATGTAGAAAAAAATGGGTACCCTCAAAAAAGACACCCTTCTGAAGCGGTTTGGGGCCCGGGAGCCAGGCTCGAAGTATCCCATTTACCCTCCCAAGTTACCGGGGGTCAAATGGGTGTGGGTCAAGAATCGGGTAACTAATCCAAATGGAACCCTGGTAAATGGAAGACCATGAAACCTGCGGTCCATTGGTTTCATTTTGGCCCATGCCCAGATTACTCTTCAACGGCGGCTGAGGGATGACCTACCACTGGGCGGCTTCGATGGCGAAGGGCCAGTTCAACGGGACGTCAGGTCAGGTCGAGCGGCTGCCGCGGCTCTTGGCCCCAAAAAGAAAGCGCTCCGCAGAGCCCACAGGTCGCCGGAACTCGGCAAATCAAACAAGTTGAGTCCATTCAACTTAGGTGGCTTCCAGTAAAAAGATCGATCTCCGCTTTTGGAGGCAGCCCCAACAAGACACGGCCACTGGAAACCCTGCTTTGGTGCCCTGACTCCCACGTTGTAGATGTGGCTTGTGGGTTTTAGGTTGGGTGGGTTCCAGAAAAATTGGGGTTCCAAAAAAAAACCGAGACGGTGGCAACCTCAAAACCAGCAGAAACGGCCACCGGAGAAGTTTCGGAGCCCGCCTCCTCGTCTGGGTTCTCCTGCATCCGCCGCCGCAGCGTAGGGGGCGCCTGGGGGGGGGGGGGGGCTGGCGCCCGGTGCTGGTTTGCGTGTGTGGGTATGTCTATGACTATATAGCTGTGTCCCTTGTTGAAGGATTCGGCCCCCCCCAAGTTTGGTGGGTTTCCTGTTGGGTTCGCTTTAAATCTAGCCTCAAAAAAGACATCCCCCCATATGCACGTGTGGAGACTTGTAGAGGTATATATAGAGATAGATAAACCACAGAACCGACCGACAGGCAGGCAGGCAGGCAGACTGACAGGCAAATAAACAAACAAACACATAGAAAAAGTATTGTGGTCAACGGTCATGATTCAGTGAATACCCACTGCAAAGGGCATTTTGGGAAATCATGCATGGTAACTGCCTTGTGGTTCAGGCAACAAATAGCGTATAGTGCGTATTTCTCCGGGGAACTTGTCTTGAACAGGTACCCTGGTAAGTCTCTCAAAGGCGTATGCATCTATATCCCATCCAAAAACGGATGCCTTTTTTCGAGCCCATGTTAGCCTACCATCCATCCAGCCCACCAAAAGGTGAACGGAATTCAACTTGCAAGCAAAGGTGATGTTTGAAACATCACCAAAGGGGAACTGCAGTGGGCTCCCTGCAAATCGGTTTTTAAACGGCTAGCCACGGGAAATATCAGCACCGCTGTTCCTATACATTTCCAGTCTCATGTATTAATCTGCAGCCATTTCTTGGCGTACAATTACCCTCATGATCTACAAAAATATCCCTTTGACTATTGGGTTTTCACGCATGGCTGGTCCATCCCCGCCCTTCTTGCCTCCTCCCCTCACCATCTGCCAAAAAGCAAACCGTCCCTTCTGAATAGTGGCGATAGTGGGTCTTGGCTTCTTGGCAACGCGTCCCCTCCTCCCCTCCCCTCCTCCCCCACTTCCCTCTTCGCCTTCTTCACCTCCTGCGGCGCTGCTTGCGGCCGCCGCCGCTGCGTCTTCGCCTTCCGCAGCTTGGCCCAAGTCTTGGCGCGCAGCGCAGCGCACGCCACCGCGCTCGACGCGGCGAAGCGGCGCAGCCAGCCGCCGGACTCGGGACTCGACCCCAGCGATCCACCAAGTCTAGGTCCTCCAGTAGAGAGAAACGAATAAGGGTACCAACTTTTTTCTGTAGTCTATTTTAGTAGAGGAACCCTCCGCACCTAAAGTGGGCATTGACGTCCATTTGCTAACCCGCCAACAAGCAAGAAAACCTCAAGCCAAGCAACTTGATTTTGGTGGGCTTCCCTTTCAAATCAGCCGAAAAAACAAAAAACAACAGCATGTTGGTTGCTTTGGCCGCCTATCCAACCAAGAAACAAACGGTGCCCTTTGGAAAATCCCCAAGCAAGCCCAACAACACGAGAACCCAGCTTGCCACGCAGCGACTGAGGCACCGCCCCGCCTCGTATCTCGCCCCGAAGCTCAGCGGCCGCTCCGCCGGAGTCCCACGCAGCGCGACCACGCGGCCGAAAACCGCCGGGCCGAAAACCGGCGCCAGGGGGCTCTGCATGGCGATCGGGGCAACAAGCCACGCGCCTTGAGACTCGCCCTCGCACGAAATCAAAGGTGAGCGCCTTTCGGTAGGACTAAACTTCTGAAGCATGGGAGAAACCGAAAGGTGGAAAGGTCGGCTTGGGGCTGGTGGTTGAGATCTGCATTTTTGGGCTGATCCATGTAGAAGCTTGTCTAAAAGGCTACAAGGGACCACCCTAGTTGCAGGCGCATTGCCGGTGCTCGGAAAAGGGGCGGGGGTGGAGACTGGCTTGAATTGGCCAGAAACGGGATGGGCTTGCACAGGTCGTGAAGTACTTGAGGGGAGAATGATGCGAAGTCACCAATGAGTTCATATACCCCAGAAAGGAACCCTCATGAATCGCGAACCCAATTTCCTTTGTGAGACGTCGCTTGCTCGGATGCAGTTCCTAGTAGACCATGTGTGGCGCATTCCATTGATTCTAAGCCATGGGTAAATAGTGTCAAGGGCTTTTTAGACGGCGGCAGCGGCGGCAACGAGTCCATGGCTTTGAGGTTGTGGGCGTGCAGAACCACAAGCAACGAGCACTAAACCAGCCAGACCCCAAGAGCCAGCGACAAAATACGCGTGCAGAGCCTCTGCAAATTGTTGCAGGCACGTTGACTCATAAGCCTTGGCGCTTATGAGTGAACATGCCTGCTGTTTGCCCAGTTGCAAGACTAGGTAAGCAGGGCTGTCCCTCTTGACTTTGGAAAAGGTGGCTTTCCTTGGTTTGCTACAGTGGCAAGTGCAAGCACCGGGTCAGGTTTCCTGTTCAAGCCGCTGCTCGGTTCAGATTCACATTGAATTCATCCTGACTGCAATCAATCAGAGCCAGCTCCTCAACATATCAATTGGGCTTGTCTCAAGGGAACCCCTACATGCTGTTGGTTTCCCCTTATAAAACATCCAAAAAATCCGAAATGGGTACCGACTCCCAAAAACGGCGCTCATATCTTCAGCTTATCTGGTCTACCCTGAGATCTGGGTGCCTTTCCCCCAAATGGGAAACCAAAAAAGCTTGATTCACCCCGCGTGGGTCCCACTTGGCCTTTTCTCCCAAAGCCATCTGCTTCCATTTGCGTTGTTCCCCCCTGGAAAAATGAGAGCTCATATGTTCAGTAGTGAAATCGATTCCCGTTAAAACCAACAAGGGAAACAAAAGAGGCTCAAGTAATATATCCCCAACAGCATGCCCAGTGGTACAACCGACAATGAAAGATAAATAATACTTCATAAGGGGGAAACATGGGCGTCATGCCATTGATAAACTGGGGTTGATTGATATATGGGGTCAGCATTATTCCACAAGGGAAAATCACATTATTATTATTATTTATTATTAGTATTATGATTATTATTATTATTAGTAGTAGTAGTATTATTATTATGATGATTATGATTAGTATTATTATCATCATTACTATTATTTGTATTATTATTATTATTATTATTATTATTATTATTATTATTATTATTATTATTATTATTATGAGTAGTAGTAGTAGTAGTAGTAGTAGTAGTAGTAGTAGTATTATGATGGTGATTATGATGATTATTATTATTAGTAGTATTATTATTATTAGTAGTAGTAGTAGTAGTATTATTATTATGATTATGATTAGTATTATTATTATTATTAATTATTATTATTAGTAGTATTATTATTATTATGATTATGAGTAATATTATTATTATCATTATTATGATTATGATGATTATTATTATTATTATTAGTAGTAGTAGTAGTAGTAGTAGTAGTAGTATTATTATTATTATGATTATGATTAGTATTATTATTATCATTACTATTATTTGTATTATTATTATTATTATTATTATTATTATTATTATTATTATTATTATTATTATTATTATTATTATTATTAGTAGTAGTATTATTATTATTATTATGATTATGATTAGTATTATTACTATTATTAGTAGTAGTAGTAGTATTATTATTATTATGTGTATGATTAATATTATTATTATCATTATTATGATTATGATTATTATTATTATTATTATTATTATTATTATTATTATTATTATTTTTATTATTTTTATTATTATTATTATTTTATCATAAAAAAAAAATAAAACAACGCTTCATCCCAGCAAATGGGCTGCGCTTGTTCTTTCCCTTCCTCGGGGGCCCGGGCATGGGCCGCGCCAGCGTCAGGTGGCCCCAGTGCCCCGGGCAGGTCTTCACGCCTATCGCGGCGAACCCCGTCGAGGGATCGAATTCCCCCCCAGCCTGCGGATTTTTTGGATGGGGGGTCTCAAAACTGGGAATCAACGTCTAGGAAACCGCTAAAAACCTGGAAGAAATGGATCTGGTGGTTGAAAATGACGATGGCTGAAACTGAAAAGAATGGTTGGAATCAACCCCTAGAATTAAGGAGTTTAGAAAAGGAAGCTCGAAAGCTTGAGCAAAGGTTCTTACCTCCCCCTGCATGTTGTCTAAAGGGTAGTTTACTTTTGATTCTTGGTCAGCGGCGAAAACGGCCAAGGAGCTACTCCGTACAGAACTAGCTCTGGGCTGCCCTCAGATCCCCTGCAAAAAGTGACTAACTTTTAGTGGGTTACATGGAAATCCAACCACTAAACACTAAAAAACTGAAAAGCTGAGGGGATGGCTGGGGCCACCGAGAAAACAGGTGGTCTGGCAATCAGCAAGGTTTTTGGGGGCCATTTACCGGGGTATGTAAAACGAATATACCACTCTTAGATACAGGTGGTCCAACATCCGGAATTCAAGAGCCTACCTCTTTGGGGTTTGGCTTTTTCTGCAAAACCACCCCCCACCCCCACCCACCCACCCCGGACACAGGGAACATGTTGCTTGCGCCAGATGCATGGTGCGAAAAGAAGGACCCTTGATGGGCCATGGATTCGTGCCCGCCTTTTCGGCATTGATTCTGGAGGGCAGGTTCCCCCAACACGGGCGCGCCAGACCATGGCTGGACAAGAACAACCTTTCTGTGATACCAAAGTGGACCCTGTTGACTACTTCAAAGGGGGTGCCTTTGGTATCAGAAAGTGAGGCATACTGTGCCGTTTTCCTCCACCTTGGTTCATCCTATCCCGGCAAACACAACTCCCCTCGGTTGCTTTCTGCTCTCCTGCAGAAAATGACTTACTTTTAGTGGTTTAATGGAAAATCCATTAGTTGGCAAAAAGTTGAAGTCCTAACATCCAAGCAAAATGCACCAAAGTCCGCTAAACCCTGCCTTTCTCCTTCGCGCTGGTCTCAAACACCCTACAGCAAAAACTAAAACCCTGGCAGAGCTGACTGAGTCGCAAGCGGCTCGAGAGTGGCCAAGAGTGGCCAGGTCGCCCCCAAGAAGTGGCTAGGCCTTTGAGTACAGGATTTTGGACCACCTGTATCCAAGAGTGGTATATTCGTTGTACATACCGTACCCCCCCCAAAAAAAACCTTGATTGCCAGACTTTGTGGACTTGGTGCTTGTCTGGCCTTCAGTGTCCTTCCATAAGTATCCTTTTGGACTAATGGATGGGTTTTAAATGAGGGCATACAACCCATCTAACCAGTGGAACCCATCTAGTTCTAACCAGAGTAACCCAAACAGGACACCCAGCTTTCCCTTTCCCTCACCAGCTTCCATTTGCTTACGCCCCCTGGAAAATCAGATGCCATTAGTGATAGACTCCAATTGAAGAAGAAAAAAAAGAAAGGGACAACATGAAAAAAATCAGCCGCGGGTGCCCCCCGCCTTCACCGCAGCTCTCGCACAAGGACCGCACATCGATGGGCCCCAAACGGGGGTCGTTGACCCCGCCGTGCACCTGAACTGAACTGGGCCAGTTCCAGCATCTCCCGGGTGGCTCGCCCCTTTTCTTGGAGTTGGTTGGTGGTGTGCGTACTATATAGCAGCAACCAGGCAAACAAAAACGAATAGAGCAGGAAAGCCGAAGAACATTTTTTGGAGGGTCCGAGTCCTAAAAATATCTATTGAACTCCTCGGTGAAACAAACAAAACTGCGGCCGAGTTCTTGCGCAAGTGCCGCGGCGTCCGTCGAAATCATTCTCTATTTGGGTGTCTTGTCTTGAGGCTACCCCAAGGAAAAGAATCCCGTCGCGCCTTTTTTTTTTGCGGTGGGGGGGGGAGGTCCGCTCAAACCGACGCGAAACCCAGCGGTGCTCACTTCAAGGGACCCTGAAAGGGGCCTGGGACAGTGGGCACCACAACCCATCCCCGGGGTCCATGTTTCCACTTACTAGGGTTTCATTGGGGTACCTATTTTTGATCCACAGTTATTTGGCATCAACAAGTTCATCCAGGTCCTCCAGTAGAGAGGTCAAACTAAGTTGGTACCAATTCTTTTCCCTGTAGTCCTTTTTAGGGGAACCCTCCCCAAAAACAAGTTGGTAAACCTGGAAAAGCAACCCTTCGGTGTGGCGGTTGACCCACTTGAATTCCGACTAAGTCCTGACTGACACGGCTGAAACTGGCCACAGATCTGTTCGACCTGGTGTGGATTCGGAGCTTCGGGGCCGGTTTCCCATTCGCCTTGTACACAAGCTAGAGGTTCAAGATCCCACCAAACAAACCGATGAGCTTCCCTCCAATCGGTGTTTTTCTTTTTTGGATTGGTGGTTTTGCGGTTTGTCATTGACCCTCAAGAAGAACCAAGGGCTCAAACTCTCCCCCAAAACCCTCCAATCCAAACTAATTTCACCTGAGCCAAGGCCAAAAAAATCCTGACTGCGCTTGGGTCAGGCCCTCCATCGAAACCACTCGACCTCAGAAAAACCTCAGGAGCCCCACCGGCAGCCCGTTCCTGTAGACCTCGTTCTCATGGATCTCCGCGACGGAGTACCTCGCGGAGGAAAATATCGCGCGGGCGGATCTTTGGACGTGCGTGCCTCTCTCGCCTTCTTGTTTTTTTTTTTTTTGCGGCGAGGCGGCCCTTTTTTCGGGCATCTCGCGCACATGCGGGAAGGTTTCAGACACCTGGCAACGTCAGCCACCCCAAACTCCGACACGGGGACACGGGCAAACATCTGGTTGGCCCGAGCGAAACG